GTTGAGAAACACTGGATAGGCCTAATGGACAGAATCTTGCCTGGCTAAAGTTATCACCTTCTAAAACAGCGGATGTGAGAGATTCTACAGTGTGGCTACCCTGGATTTCTTTCTTCCTCCCCATCCAGCTCAGGACTGGGACGTCCCTTGTCTTGAGCCACTCTCTGGAATGGGGGGGGCTCCTACCTGGGAAACTGTGATGCAATTGCCAAGACAACCCCCCCCTTCTCCTTCTCCATAACAAAAGCAGAACATGGTTTTGAGCTCTCGGATATATTTCAGTTCCCCAGAATAGCATGATGGGAATTATAGTAATGACACTGTCCCTCCCGTGGGTGTAACTTCCATTCATCAATTCAGGGGGGAGCAACCCCTTTCGGCCCTCACACGCCGAAGACGTGGGGGAAACCATGATGCTGCCTTTAGAGCAGGAGTGGACAACGATGGCGCTTTTATGTCTTGTGGACTCCCAGAATTCCTGAGCCAGCATGGAAGAAGAATTCTGGGAGTTGGAGTCCACAAGTCATGGCTTGTCCACCTGCTTTAGAGGCTGGTGGACAAGCCATGAGGCTCCATCAGGCGCCAACAGAGAAAAGGCCCTGCCAGACCTGGGGGGGGGGTGCCAGAACCCCTGAGAAGATGGCAGGCCCAAGTGCCCCTGGGCTTCGCAGGACTGCATCCCCCTTTGCAGGGGGGTGGTCAGGAAGAAGAGGACAAGTGCAGCTGACCCCCCCAAATCAAGATGCCAATACTGATCTCCCCCCCCCCAGGGTCCTGGGGGGCGGGGTTCAGAAAAAGTCCTGATCTGGGACCTTGTGCCTCTCTAAGATGAAACTAAAAATGAAGTTTTATTATTTATAGACCTCATTGGCTGCCCATCTTATCACTGGGTCCCTCTGTGGCATCACCAGGGGAATCCTCTGGAATAGGTTAAATGATTTTAGGGCCGTTTCTGGGTTAGTTTCTTTTAAATTATTTCTGAATTCGTTGTCATTTAAAGAGCTGTTGGTTTATTTGTGTCAGGAGCCTCACAATTAAAATAAGGCAAACTATAGGGGATAAAATTTAAAATATAAAGTGCAAGATTAAAATACGTATAAATTAAACAGATCTTGCCCGGAAACTAGCAACATTAATTGTGTCCTGTCACACTGCCATGACTGTGTACACTCGGGACACAAAGGGCAGGAGTTCATATGTGTGGTTGTCCGCACGTCACCACAATCACAAAGAGCAGAAGCCATCAGACAGCCCTGCTTCTCTTCAAGAGCTGCCGTGGGTAGAAAGATGGGCCAGGAGCCGAGATGCCAAGGGCCCCCGCAGAAGAATCCTAAGGACCCCCCCCCCGCCACCCAAGGAGTCACCAGCCCTGCTTGGGTCACAAACTGACCCAGCAAAGCCAGCCGGTATTCACCCCTCTGGGTCACCTTGATCTGTGCCCACCTGAGCAAGGAGTAAGCACTTCCCCCCTTGTCCCAGCGCCCAAGTGAGGGGGGGAACCTCCTGAAGGGATCAAGGGGGGAGGGGGGCATGCCTCTGCCCCCCCACACACACAGAACGGCCCTTCCCGGCCTGGGAAACAGCAGTTTGGGGCTGTCTGGTGTAATTCACGGATGCTTTGAGGGTGATCAGAGAAGCAGGATTGATGCTTGAAGGTTTCCCATTAAAGCAGTGTTTCTCAACCTTGACCATTTTAAGGCATGTGGACTTCAACTCCCAGAATTCCACAGCCAGCAATGCTGGCTGTGGAATTCTGGGAGTTGAAGTCCACATACCTTAAAATGGTCAAGGTTGAGAAACACTGCTTTAAAGCATCTTTAGCTGAAGTAGGTGACACAACTGACTGAAAAGTCGGGTTCATGCAGCACACGTGAGCCCAAGTGTGGGTCATCTGAATGTAGCTGCTGTGAAACCTGCAAGTCCCAAATACATAAACTGGATTTCTTGGTCTCCACCCTGTGCTGAAGCCCCCAACTTCCAACTTCCAAGAGACAATTTCTGCTTCAATCAAAAACTCTGATCTTTCCCTCATCCCTCCATGCTCTGAAGCTCTCCAGCTTCTTCTTCCTCTTCCTGGTTGCCCCAGGCCATGTCTGAATCCACCCGTGGGGCTCCTGGTCCAGCACCCCCTTCTTCACCATGGGTAGATTCAGACACGGCCTGGGGCAACCAGGAACCTGCCTTCTACTAGCCCCCCTAGCCAATAACTTTGAGCAGAACACCTAGTGAACGAACAAACGAATGAAAAGATGGGCACCCAACTGACCAGCACTTGCAAGTGGGTAAGGTAATAAAACAACCGCAGCACCCAGGAAGATAAAAATGCAAAATGTCAACATCCCAGTAAGTTCACAGCTTGCCCTGCTGGAAAAGCGAAGTTTTCAAAACCTTCCTAAAGAGAAGAAAGGTTAAAATGCTGTTTCAAAGGGCAGGGATCCACTTGGGATCGACCAGGGATCCAGCAATGCCTCTGCAACTGCAGTAAAAATCTCTCCTTCCTGATCCTAAGCATCTTATCAGAGAGGAAGTCCCGGTCGTTCCTGGCTGCCCTGTTAATGGGTCAAGCACGACACGCAGAGGGGCTGAAGGAAACGTTGACATTGGCCGCCCATTCAGTATGCTGTCTACTATGCATATATACATGTATGCATCCCATACAGACCATGGCTGACCAGGGTATGTCTTTTCAGCTGTCCCAGACCCGGAAAAGAGGATAGGAGAATCCCCCCCCCCCGTTCATCTCTGGGTCTCCCTTAAAGGGCCGGCAGACGGTTATGGCCAGAGCCGCTTCTCTGCTTCTGCCCTCACACTGCCCTCCCCCCCCTCAGGAGAAAAAGGCCAAAGACAACCCAAACCTCCCCCCCCTCTTGCAGCAACCACTTCTCTTTCATCAGAACCAGGGAGCCCACCCCCTCAATTGTACTCTTGCCTCCAAAATACACACACACACACACACACACACACACTGTGGCCCCCTCCGGATGCCTGGTGACCCCAGATGGCCTGCGAGTTAAGGAGGCCAGGAATTGCCACGCCAGCTCCCTACTGGGAGGGGTGCAGTGGGGTTGCTCAGGCCAGCCCCTCCCCCCAACTCCCAAAGATCTGCCAAAGACTCCACTATCCGTGCTTTCATCTCATTTCCTCCCCGCCCCCAGCTCTCAATTTGTGCCAAAGCAGATCTCCAGGATCCTTGCTTGTCCAGAAAAGATCCCAGAAGGAGCAAAGGGGGGGGGGAGAGTCTGGATTCCCCTGACAACATTCCTGCCTGTCCCATGGATTCACTTAATTGACTTCTGTACGGTCTTTCCCCCCCCCCCCCAGGAGCCGATGGTGGCCTGTGGGTGGCTCTCCCTTGATTTTATCCCACACCCGGCTAAGCAGAGAAAGAGGCCTGAGTGTGGGCTTGAACGGGGCTCCCTCTGGTCGTTCCCCAGCCTCCCCAACACTTCAGCTTCTAGCCGTGTCCTGGTTCTTTGCCCCCCCCCCCCAGTTCCCCTGCAGCCACGTCTCTGGGCGAGGGCAGCCTCTCCCCAGAGGCCTCTGCAGAGAACAACCACAGCAGGCCAAGAGGCCTCTCCCGTCTCCCCGTTGCAGAGGCAGCATCTGGGCAGCGCCTGGGAAAGCCAAAACAAGGGACTTGGCTGGCCTGATCCAGCCAGAGGCTTCCGCCGCTGCTCTTGCAGCCACCGGGATCCATCCTTGGGCTCCCCCTGGTCAAGCAGGCATACACACACACACACACACACACACACACCAGATTTCCAGCTACCAAGGATTGCCCTTCCGTGTAGGTCCTGCTGGGCTTGGGGTCCTTCTCCCCAAATACGAACCTCAAGAGGGAGGGCGGCATCCGGTGCCTCTGGGGGTCGCCAAGGAAAGCTCCTCCACAGCTTGGAGGACCAGAAGACCAGCCGAAAGAGGTCCTGCTCCTGCCCCAACCCACGGGCTGTGCCCCAAAGCCCCTCCCTGGCTTCGAAGAGGGAGCCCCTCAAGGCAGGGCTGGCACTGTGCAGCCTCTGCCCCACCGTGGCTGCGGCTCCAAGAGGGGCCGCCGTGAGGCTGCTGCTCATCCAGGAGAGCACAGCTCAGACGTAGCCCTGGCTCCCTGCCAGACGGAGCCTGGCGAGGAGAGAAAGGAGAAGCGGCCTCCTGGGGGGGGGAGGGGAGGTCTGCCAGCTGCCCAGATTGCCTGTTGGTGGGGCGGGCAGCAGCAGGGCTCCCTAAGGCCCCTCAGGACCCACGCGTGCCTAAAGCGCCCTCCCCACAGCAAGGAAGGCTCGGCGCTTGGCCTGGTGCCCCTCCGAAGGAGGGTCCGGATAAGCGCCCCCCCCCACCCCCCAGGCCCAAGCTCGGCTCTGGGCGGGGAAGGAGCGCAGGGCGCCCGAGCAAGAGCCGGAGAGGGCTGCCGCGGGCGGGGTTCCGCTTCTCCGAGGCCGCTCCAGAGCCGCCCGGTCGGGGCCAAATTCTCCATGGGAGGGGGGCGGATCTCCAGGCCGGAGGAGAAGCAGCTCCGCTCTGTTTCTGGGCCCAGCACCGCCCCCCCCAAACCGACGGCAAGCGAGGGAGGGAGGGCTGGACGGGCCCCGGGGGGGAATCAGACGGAGCGGCCCGAACCGGCCTCTTGGAAGGGCGGGCGGGCAGGCAGGGGGCGGCCGGAGACCCCCTTGGCCGTGGGGAGGAGGGACCCCAGGAGCAGACGGGCCGTCTCAAGGCGGGCGCGTCTAGGGCCCAGGTGCCGCGCGGGGCCGGCGGGGACCAGGCCCAGCTGCTCCCGGGGAGCCGCCCAACGCTCGGCCGAAGGAACCGTCTCGGCCGCCGCTCCCAGGCCCAGCTGCTCCACCCGGGGCGCGGACGTGCCCCGGGAGGCGCTGGAAGCCGCATCGGCCAGGCGTCGCTCGGGTTGGAGCCGCGCTCCGAGAACCCTCCCCCCGGGCTCTCGGGCTGCCTCCGGGCTCGGTCCTTCCGCGGAGGCCGGCGCGGCGGCGGCGGCGGCGTCTTACCTGCAACTGGGCGGCGAGAGCGAGTGGAAGGTGGAGAGCGAGAACATCTCCGCCCGATCCGCCATCTTCTCCGGCGCAACCGAGCCGAGCAGGGGCGAGCGAGAGGCGAGGCGAGGCGGGGGGCGGCGAGGCCGGGCCGGTCGGGGCGGCGGCGGCTCTTCACTGCGGGGGCTGCCCGGAGAGGCTCGCAGCAGCAACCGTAGCAGCAGCAGCAGCAGCCATGGCGCGCTCGCGCTTCCTCCGGCCGGGCCCCGGTAAACAGCGCGGGGGGGGTCTGCGCTCCCCTGGCTGCGGCGGGGGGGGAGCGGGCGGCGCAGCCAATGCCCTCCAGCCCGTCGTGCTCCGGCGCGGCGGGAGGAGGAGGAGGAGGAGGAGGAGGGGCGAGGCCAAGCGAGGCTCCACAGCGCCCCCTCCCCACTGCGGATGCGCGGCGAGACTCCTCCAGCCTAGCGGGCCGGGGGAGGCGGCGGCGGCAATGTCCCAGCCCCTCCCTTCCCCCCCCCCAACCCGGCGGCAAAACAAAGCGGGCGCCCGTTGCCCGTGTCGGGCGCCCGGTTGCAGAGCGAGGGCGCCCCGGGCGGAGGAGGGGCGCGGGCGGTAGACCCGGCGGCTGGCGGTGGGGAGCTGTCCGCGCCGCTGGTGCTGAAGGGCGGCCGCAAGGAGCTGTCCCTGGAACGGGCGCTGAAGGGGGCGACGCGGGCGGCCAGGGGGCGCTGGGGAGGCGGCCGTCCGCCTGTCTTGCCCCGGGAGGGAGCCTGCCTGGGGGCGCCGTGCGGGCCCTGGGTAGTAGAGATAGGTGCCGAGGGCAGGAAGGCTTTGCCCGCTCCGTTCTCCTCCGGAGAGCCCAAACAGGGAAAACTCCCCGTCCTGCAAGCAGCCAGCGAGGGAGGAGGCAGCCGCCGTGCCACAACAGGCCCTGGCGACCTCTGCCCGGTACGATGCCAGGCTTTGCACAGAAATCTGGGCCGAGCAGGGTGGCAGGAGGAGGCCTCCCTCCCCAAGGAGCCAATTAAAGGATCTCCAATTAAAGGCAGGTCCTGCTGCTCCGCCCAGACTCCTGGCTGTTCAGGGTGCCTAAACTGCCCTGTGGGCAAGCTACCGATCCAGGGCCATGCAGCAGCACCAGCTGCTGGCTTCCCTGGGCCAAGAGAAGCATGGACAAAGAGCCTTCCCCAGGCTGGTGCCTCCCAGCTGATCGGAAGTCCAAAGTGGGCATCTGGAGGGCAGGAGGAAGTGGCTCCTCTAAGGGGTGCAGCGCCTGGTCCTCCAGAAGCTCTCTGCTGTGCCCGTTTCTGCAGCACGTGCCACATGGGACCGGTGTGCCAGGTGGGGGTCAGATTCGCGGTTTGCACACTCCTCTCTGAGGTGGTCTCGGCCAGCATCCCAGGAGCAGAGACCCAGCACCTTACTCTGTGCCCATGCCGGTGAACTGGGGCAGGGGCTGGCCCTCCCCAGGACCAACCATGCAGCATGGGGGGGGGGGAGTGTAAACATTTATCTCAGTGCCTTGGCAGAGATCAGTTTTGAATGACGGTGTTTAATGTTTTTAATTTCTTCACCACCCAAAGTTCCTTTTGGCAGATGGGAAGATACACGCAGTGGTTTAATAAATAAATCTGTCAAGCAGACCCACCCCCTTTCTTTATAATTGTCTAGGGCAGGGGTGTCAAACTCGCAACGTCACGTGACGTGTCGCGACTTTTTGTCCATTACCGGCAATGGGGTGGGGGCGGTTTCGGCATGACACATCTGGCCGGTGGACCAGCAGTTTGACACCCCTGGTCTAGGGTGTGCTGAGATGATAATGCAACACATTGTGGAAAACTTGGGAAACTGCAGTTCAGAATGAAGGTGGCAACTCCTGCTTCCTCTTTTGTGCTCTCATACATCCTCCATTCAGCCTGCCCCAGATACTCTTCCTCCTCATCTGGGGGTCACCGACTGCTGAGTCATCTCCTCTTTGCCCACCCCACTGATACTCCTGGACTCCCCCAAGGCTTTCGGCAGATGCCTCTTGTGCCCTCCTGCTGCTGCACTTGTCGTGCGCTTTTGTTCTTAGCCTCCTTGCCTGTCTATCTGGTCCACTCAAGACGGCGAATATGCTTAAAACTCCTGCCTCTCCTTTTCCCCACAACAACCTTGTGAGGGGGGTTATCACAGTCACCCCAACTTCCAGTGCACCAAGGTGGATATTTAAGCAAGTCTTAAAATCGCCAAGGTTGGACACCCCTGTTCTGGGCCAAGATACATTTTAATTCAATACGATTTAGGGTGGTCTCCAGGTACAAAACATCATTTTCCCAAGGAGGCTTCTTTTGGCATCCCAAACTTTTCATTCCACCAAGTGGCAAGGTGCCCCCAAGACCTTCTCCGGCCATCACAATGCTGCTTCGTCACAGAGGGGCTCTCCTCCTCCTCCTCCTCCTCCTCCTCCTCCTCCTCCACCTCCTGCCAGCAGAAGGTCCATGTAGGCCCCACTGATGAGTTCCTTCTCCTCTATGCCCAACTGGCCCATCAGTTGCCAGGCCACGTCCTTGCCTTCCTGGGGGCTCTGCTGCTCCTCTAGCACCACCTGCAAGGATGGAGAGGGCGATGGGATATGGTTCTCTCTCTCTCTCTCTCTCTCTCTCTCTCTCTCTCTCACACACACACACACACACACACACACACACACACGGCAAAGAAAGGGAGGGCCCTTAGCCCCCTTCTGCAACAGGCTGCCTTGTGAAACCAAATACACTTGCAGGCACATGAAGCAAACCAGGGTCTCCAAACTTGTGGACTTCAACTCCCAGAATTCCCCAGAGTTAAACAGCAAAGTCTTAAAGTGGCCAAGATTGGACATTCTTGCCAAGGTGGGCAAAAGTTGGTTTCTTTGACAGGCTGGCTTGTACGGCTACATCGTCATCATCCTAATGTTTTTCCCACAGTTGCTTTGCGGGTCAACAAGGGCCATATTGTGTGATTGTAGGCAGCCTTGAGGGCCCGACTGGGCACTTTTCATACCTTCATTTACTACACAGGTAATCCTTGAATTATGACAATTGACCCCAAAATCTCTGTTGCTAAATGAAACATTTGTTAAGTGAATTTTGCCCCATTTTATGACCTTTTATGGGAGTTGAAGTCCACAAGTCTTAAAATTGCCAAAGTTGAGGACCCCTGCTCTACTGTCCACCTGTAGAGCTTCAGGGGTCTTTTGGGCTAGCCCGCCCCCTCTTCATCTTTTCCATCTCTCCCTTCCAGTTCTTCAGCAGTGTTACCTTCCTTTCCACTCTTCCCGAGAGACCACGTGTTCCGCGCAGGAAAACCTGACACCTGTTTCCTTCACAGCTCTTTTCTCTGACCTGTTTACCAGCTCCAGGTATGGTTTGATTGTCTGGGAGATCACGTGATCACGCTGGAGCGTGTTTACCTGCTCTCTCTGGCCCCAGGGAGAAAGGAGGAACAATCCAGGGAAACTTCAATGCCAGCTCTGGGATCCAAAGCTGGGAGGAATGCCCCTCCCCACGGCTGGAGGCGCTGGGCAGCTGCAGCCCCAGAGCAAGGGAGGTGGGGAGGGAATCTTGGGGGCTAGCTAGATCCACCTCCCAGGGGTAGGCAACCTTGGCTCTTTTATGACTCGTGGACTTCAACTCCCAGAATTCTTGAGCCAGCCTGGCTCAGCTTGGAAGCCTCTCCCTTTCCCCTCAGCGTGGCTGGCTCAGGAATTCTGGGAGTTGAAGTCCACCAGTCATAAAAGAGCCAAGGTTGCCTAAGCCTGCCCCAGCCAGCCAGGAATTCTGGGAGCTGAAGTCCATGGGTCATAAAAGAGCCAAGGCTGCCTAAGCCTGCCCCAGCCAGCCAGGAATTCTGGGAGCTGAAGTCCATGAGTCATAAAAGGGCCAAGGTTGCCTACCCCTCCACCTCCCGTTCAATGAATGAACTCCAAGAACATTTTTAACCAACGGCTGTCCAACCGCAGTCTGGGGACGCTAGAGAAGGGGAACGTGCTGAATGAAAAATGATTTCTCTCTTCATCACAACTATAAACCATCTTAGCCACTCAGCACCTTCTCTTAAAATGCAACATATGACTGCGTCTCCCCATATCCCACCTCTTACCTATATATTAAAAAAAAAAACTCATCTCAGTCCTGCCATCAGCCAATAGTTTACTGAGATGTTATTTATGCATTTTTGTGTGGAACTGTACAATTTTTGGCTGATAGTAGTAGTTTGAAGTAGTTTGCCTTCAGAAGTTACGGGTGCTCCATCACTGGAGGCTTTTAAGAAGAAACTGGACTGTCACTTGTCTGAAATGGCATACGGTCTCCTGCTTGACCAGAGGTTGGACTAGAAGACCTCCAAAGTCCCTTCCAGCTCTACTCTGATTGATTGAAAGTGGAATTGAACCTGCGGCAGAATTTCCAGCAGCCAAGGAAGGTGAGAAGAGTGAGTCAGCCTGTCTGTCTGCTTTTCAGCAACTGTTTGGCCTCACAGTCCTGTCGTGTCCTCTCGATTCTCCCAAGGACAAGTTTGTCCCCATACTCCCCCCCCCATTCCTGCACCAATCTCCCTGCAGTTACCAGATCTCCTGTCTTTGCTCCTCTCCTCTCCCTGGTGGAGAGATCCAGGGATCAACTGCTGCAAACCCCACTAGGTGAACCCCGCTTGCTCTGGGGCTCAGTCACAGAGCGGAAAGGCTTCCAAGCGCTGCTCCTCACCTCCAGCTCCACAAAGTCACCCAGTCCTTCCACCCGATCCACGTGGACACGGGTCTGGCCCACCCTGTAAAGATGGCGCTCCTTCTTCACCACGCCTTGCTTTCCAAGCGCCTGAGATAAGGCTTCCTGTGTAGGGAAAAATGCAGGCAGAATAGCGATAGCATTTGAACTTATATACTGCTTCATAATTCTTTACAGCCCCTCTCTAAGAAGTTCACAAATGTCAGCCTGTTGCCCCCTGAACAATCTGGGTCCTCATTTTACCATCTTGGAAGGATGGAAGGCTGAGTCCACCTTGAGCCGGTCAGGATCAAACTCCTGACAGTCGGCAGAACTAGGCTGCAATACTGCATTCTAACCACTGCGCCACAACAGCTCCAGCATGGTTTTACACCAATTTGCCAACTAGCGGTCAAACAATGAATTGCACATCCCGGTCCCCCTTCTAAGAGACCTCAAGGCCCCTTCTCTCTCCCTCCCTGGATACGAAGCCCAAGGAATCCCCGGGAGCAGATGAGTTGCCGTGGGAGATAAAAGTGCTTTCTGCTTTGCCTCTCTCATCCAAGAAGCTTCTTCGGTTCTGAAGAACGTCTCCAGAACTGAAGAAGCTTCTTGGATGAGGAGTGAAACATTTTCAAGGAAAAAAAAAAAGAACGTCCAGTTGCCCTTTGCAAAGCACCTCTGGGACAACCATGACCTGGATGGAGGAGAATCTCCATAGGGAGTGAGAGATGAGGGAAAGCGAGAGAAGACACCCAGATGCCTCAATGGCTGATGCATGTGCCGGGAGCACGTGGTCGGCCCTAGAGGAAAGTGGATAAAGCAGGTGAGGTGGACCCTGCCTGGGCTGACCAAGCTTCCTCTGACCATCTCGAGGAGGGAACAAGTACACAGGATGACCTTCTGACCTGGCTTTCCATGGGGAGACCCATGGGCGCTTCCAAGCTTTAGAGGGCTGCCGGCTGCCCCACCATGTGTGGAACTGCCCTTACACAATGTATTTTAGGGTTGAATGTCGGGAATTGCCTGACCTGGAAAAGCGCCTCAAACATCCACGTGGATGCTGGAAGCAGAGACGGGTCCTGCTCCCATCCAGAATGACTGTTCCATCGCACCAAAAGCCTTGCCCCCCCCCCAGCCTCCCAGGGCCCTTCCCACAGCAAGCAGCCCTTCCCAGTCCATGAGGCCTTACCACAAGTCCTCCAGGGTTGTCGGTGGGAGAGACGGTGAAACGAGAGAGCTTGGGGCCTGTGGAGTTTGGCCGGTCATAAAACACCAGCTGTCCACGGCCATCCTGTGAAGGAAAAAACCGGTTATCCACAGTCCACCTCGCTCAGGGTCAGACTATCCCTACCGAGCAAAATAAGCAAATTAATTTTGTTTTACGAAAACTGGCTGGCCAGATTGTAATTCAAGGGCTGGTGGTTGGAGGTGGAACTTGAGAGCAGCTGATTGCATTATTATTTTATTTACATTTATTATGAGACTTGCCACCCATCGTTTCCAAAGCGACTCTGGGCAGCTTACAACACAAAAAACATTAAACTCATCAAATGTACTCGCAAAATCCCAGCCAGATCATCCTAGAGCTGGGATTTTGCGAATGTTGAGAATGATGGGAGTTGGAACCACAGTCAGAAACGTACGAAATATGAAGGTCAAATTTAAAAACCGGAGATTCCCTTGAGGGGCAAAATGGGGGGAGCAAACTGAGCCCCCCGCATCCTGCTTGGCTGGCTGGTTTACTCACTCGGAAGTCGCGGACCTTCAGCCGTCCGTGGGGAACAGGAAAGAAGGTGTCTGTCTGAAGGAGGAGAGAGCCGGGGGATCCACTCAGCTGCTCCGCCCTGGTGATCAATTGGGCCAGATCCTGCACCCGGGCCTTGATCTCCACATTTGCTGGCATCTACAAGACAATCCGAGGTCAAGAGAAGCCAAGGGTGGGGCCCTTGGTGCTCCCTGAGCTGGGTTGTTGTTTCCTTGCAGACATTTCATGGCCCATCTAGGTAACATCATCAGGGGTAGATGGGAGGGGAAATTGGGGAGGAGGGGGATTCTGGAGCCCCTCCTGCTCTCTGAGTTTGGCTGTTTCCTTGCAGCCATTTCATGACCCAACTAGGGAACATCCTCAGGGCTAGGAGGGGAGTTTGCTCTCTGTTTATATACCAGTGGCTTGCCCTGTTGGTTTTGGTGGGCGTGTTTTGTTGTTCTTTGATTAGCCTGTAATTTATTGTATCTTTGTTTGTTTGTTTGAGTTGGCAGTTCCTCACTTGAGGTATAAACTGAGAGCAACCCCCCCCCCTTTCTAGCACTGAGGATGTCCGTCCCCTTCTTCTCTGCAAGCCAAACTTCCTTCTAGCACTGATGATGTTCCCCAGTAGGGCCATGAAATGTCTGCAAGGAAACGTCCAACTTCAGAGAGCATCAAGGGTCCCCCAATCCTCCTCTTCCTTCACCTTCTTTCCCCCCCCCCCACTTCCAGCACTGATGATGTTCCCTAGTTGGGTCATGAAACGTCTGCAAGTAAAGCCACCCAGTTCAGAGAGCATCAAGGACCCCCCCCCCAGTTCAACCCGGAGCTATAAATATTCCCTTCTACTGAAGCCCAGGATCTTTGGGGGCATTCCCCTCCGGGAGCTCAGCCCACCCCGCCCCCGGGAATTCCTGTGTCTTCAGAGCCCCCAGCTACACCAGACACGTCTCCACGCCCCCTTCAAGAGGCCCCGCCCCCCAGCGAAGGGGGGTGGGGGGCTGGTCCGACCCGCACCGGCCTCCCGGGCAGCTTTGGCGGCCGCTCGGTTCGGCTCAGATGCAGGCCTGGCAGGCCGTGCAATTGGCCCGGCAGGGCGGGAAAGAAAAGAGCTGGGAGGGACCCTGGAGGTCTTCTAGTCCAACCCCCCTCTTGGGGATGGGTATGGCCTCTGCAGCGCCTCCAATTCTCTTCACGCGACTCGCCCCCTTTCTCGGGGGAACGCCCCACCCGCCCCCCGCTGGCGCCTTCGCACACACACCGGTCCTCCGCTCTCCTTCACCTCGCCGGCGCCGGCGGCTCCCGATTGGCGCCTCGCTCGCTTACGTCGCGCCCCCCGATTGGCCGCGGCCTCCGCCCTGCCCCGCCCCGCCCCCTCTGGGCCCGAACCGCCACGCGCCTTCCGGTGGGCGGGCGCCGGCGCGGGCCAATAGGAGCGCGGGCGGGGCGAGGGGCGGGGCGGCCATTGGTCAGCGGGCGGCGATGGAGGCGCCGGAGGGAGACGGGCCGGAGGGGGACCGCGCAGCGCCCCCCCGCTCGCCCCGCGGATGCCCGGCCGTCCCCGCGCCCACCCGCCTGCGCGCCTTCCTCTGGTGCCGCGAGTTCCTGGCCGGGGCCTGGCGCCGCCTGGCCGCCCCCGAGCAGCTGGGCATCGTTCCCGTCAGGTGAGGAGGAGGAGCCCGCCCGGGACGTCACCGCCCCGCGCAGGCGCGCCGCCGGCGGAACGCCCGGCCACTAGGTCGCCGGAGGAAAGGCCGCGGCGTGGTGGGGAGGCGCCGTGCAGCGCCCTCGCTCCCTCCCTCCCTCCCTCCCGTGGCCGTTCCCGGCGCTCCGGGAGAGGAAGCTGCGCGGACCGGGCGGAGGGCGAAAGTGACCCTCCGGGGCGTGGCGGGCTGGGGATGCTGGGAGTGGAGGTCCACAGGGGAGCGCGGTTGGGGTGCGGTGCTCCGAGGCCCCGGGGTCTGCTTGCCCGGCCCTGGGAGGGGCCCCCGCCGGGCGCTTTCACACCGCAGTAAGGGAATTCCAGGCAGTCCTCGAGTTACGACCACAACAGCCTCAGTGAGTGTTGCCCCGTTTTACGACCTTTCCTGCCACAGCTGTGAAATGAAACCCTGCAGCTGTTCAGGCAGTAACTCTGTTGTTAAGCGAATCTGGCTTCCCCCTGGACTTTGCGTATCGGATGGTCGCCAATGGGGATCGCGTGAGTCCCAGGACGCTGACTGCAGCCGTCGTAAATGTGAGTCAGTTGGCAAGCATCCGAATGCCAATCAGGGATGCCATGGGGATGCTGCAGTGGTCACAAGTGTGAAAAGCGGTTGTAAGTCAGTGCCGCTGTAACGTCAAATGGTCACTAAATGAAGTTGTAAGTCGAGGACTGCCTGTAACAGAGTGGGAAGGGACCCTGGAGGTCTTCCTAGTCCAGCATTCCCTGAGAGGAGTCGGATGCTGCCTGTCTCTTGGGGGGGGTTGGCCTGTCCCCCCCCCCAGCCCACCCTCTCCTACCCGGTCTGACACTTGCTTCCCCCCCCCCCAGCGGAGGGCTGAGCAACCTGCTCTACAAGTGCTCCTTGCCGGACCAGGTTGTGACCACCGAGGACGAGCCGCGCCAGGTGCTGCTGCGTGTGTACGGCATCATCCTCCAGGTGAGCTTCGGCCAGGCCTTCCGGAAACTTCCCTTCCGGGCACCGGATGACCCTCCCGTCTGCTCCCAGGGCCGGAGGGGATCCCGGTCCCTGGTGTCGAAAGCAGGAGGGTGGCATCCCCTCCTTTCTGATTCAGCCAGGGGTCCCCCACGAAGCGGCAGCTTGATTTATTAGTTCCAGAACATTTGTATGGCCTCTTGGCGGGCCCTCAAAAGCCCTCACCTAATGACCACAACTGAGCCCAAAGTTTGTGTTGCTAAGCAAGGCGGTTGTTAAGTGATTTTTTTGCCCCACTTTATGACATTTCTTGCCATAGTTGATATTTTCCCTCTATCCTGTCTGGAGAATCGTCTTTGGTTTTGCCCAGCCCTGCGTGTGACTGTGGGCTCTTCAGCTCCCTGCCTTTCCTGTTGACGCAGGGCCCCGAGTTCTAGTCCCGTGAGAGTAGGGCATTTGCATTTGCCACGAGGGATTTCATGCTTTCTCGCACATCTCCCTCCTTTGAGAGCTCTATGCAATGAAATTTCATTTTAAATGTATGTCAATTAGCGTATGTTCAAAGTGACAGTAAAGTTATTATTCTTATTCTTCTATTTTCTCCCTCTCCCTCTCTCTCCCTCTCTCTCTCTCTCTCTCTCTCTCTCTCTCTCTCTCTCGCACACAGGGGGTTGACTCATTGGTTCTCGAGAGCGTCATGTTTGCCATCCTGGCCGAGCGGGCCCTGGGACCACAGCTGTACGGCATCTTCCCGCAGGGACGCCTGGAGGAATACATCCCTGTGAGTGTACCACCCCTTCCCTTCCCTGGCCTGCAGGACAGGCCTCCAGAGCAGCCTGGCGCTGCCGCCAAATGCCGCCTCCGGGCACACTTTGATCCTGCCGGGATTCCTTTCTCCTCCTCCTTTGTCTGCAAAGGTATAGGGGTTGGGCTAGAAGACCTCTGAGGTCCCTTCCCACTCTGTCATTCTGTTATTCTGAATCCTGGAATCCCATTGTAGGAAATTGGGAGGAATTAAATGGGGATAAGCATGGTGGGGTGGGTGGGCAGAGGGTCTGCCAGCGCCTTCTGCCTCTGGATCCGGAATTCGGCTTCTGGTTAGCGCCCATCCTTGCTTTAAGGCGCTCAGGCCGCAACCCCCAGTAGAGGGACAGGGCTCCCCTCACAAGCCCCACACAAGGGGTCCCCAGAGTTGCTGCGGAAGATGCTTGTTGTTGGGCAGAAGTTTCAACTCAAGTCCAAATCGGACACCGCTCTGCTTTGCAAGTTATCTTACTTGTTTTTACTTTATTAAGCTTAGAGAGGCCATCCGACTCCAAGCAACTCTGGGTGACTTAGAATTTAAAAAGTGCAGTGGTACCTCAGTACTCATTGTTAATTGGTTCCGGGGGGGGGCTGATGAGCAACAAAAATGATGAGTACTAAACAAATTTTTCCCATAAGGAATAATGCAGGGAGTCACAAGTTCTGGCTTGTGCGTTGAGTGCCAAACAAACGATGAGTACTGGGACAACATTTTCATGGCAAAATGCACTGAGTAGCAAATTCAATGAATTTCAGAGCAGTTGAGTCTCAAGGTCCGTTCCCCCCCCCCCCTGTAAGGGAGAAAACCCCACAAAGCCATAAGAACAGGCCAGGAGGGACGCTCCTCATCTGGAGAAACATCTGGAGCGTAAGGAGAAGAACGGCAACCAACAGGCTCATTTCTCACAGCGGGGCCTTCAAAGACTTTAGGAATCTAAACGGTGGGCTGTTGTGTTTTGCCCAAAGCACACAGGCCTCATTGTGGCTTTTTGTGATGCATGTCATCTCGCTCCCTCCCACCCCCTCCCGGCCTGGTTTCAGGAGACTTTGGGGGGGGGCTTTTAAATCAACGTAACCTCGGGGTCTCCCAGAGCCTTCGTGACCCTCTGCGGCCCCTCCCCCCACTTTCCCACGACTGTGAGCGGAAGGGGCCCCGGCTCCCTCCAGCCCTCCCGTGGCCTCAGGGCTGCCCTGTGTCTCCATCTGCAGAGCCGCCGGCTGGTCACGGAGGACCTGCCGAAGCCCAGCATCTCGGCGGAGATCGCGGTGAAGATGGCCCGCTTCCACGGCATGGTGATGCCCTTCAACAAAGAGCCCAAATGGATGTTTGGGACCATGGAGAGGTGGGTCGCCCTGGCGGGGCCTTGGGCTGCAGAGGCGGCTCGGGCTGTGGCCGGCAAGGGCCGCTCCCCGGGCAGGTGGGCTAGCCCCTCTCCCCCTCCCAAGGACTCCAGAGGCCGCCTGGGAAGGTGTTTGGGCCTCCCCTCCCCGGCAGCAGAGCCTCTCCTCATCCTCCTCCGTTCCTGGCAGGTACCTGAAGCAGATCTCCGAGCTCACCTTTTCCCAGGAGGCCCAGCGGCACAAGCTGAACCAGCTGAAGGCCTACAACCTGGAGGCCGAAATGCGCAGCCTCAGGTGGGCAGATCTCCAGGGAGAAGCCGCCGGTGAGGCTTCCAGACGGGGCCTCTGGGCCACCCTTCGCTTGGCCCCAGGGTCTCGGCCCGCTTATTTATTTATTTATGAGACTTATATACCGCTTTAAGTGCAAGCACTCTCTAAGCGGTATACACCAGTAAGCAATATATATATATATATATATATATATATATATATATATATATATAGGTCTTTGGTTGTTCGGGTTTTCTCCCGCGTAAAATTGGAAGTGTCTTGGCAACGTTTCGACGAAGTCACATTCGTCATCTTCAGGCTGGTGTTTTTAGCTTCTTGCTTTGAGCAGCAATGTGTGGTCTTAGCTGTTTCTTCCTTTTAACTGCCAGTGGGGGTATGAACTGATTGGGTGGGAGCTTGGCTGTGTTCTGATTGGGTGGAGGTGTGTTCTGAATGGTTAGGGGCTTGGCTGTGCTCTGATTGGCTGGGGGAGTGTTCTGTTTGGTTGTGCTCAGGTTAGTCTGAGTTGCAGAGGGGTTTAAGATTTTGGGGTTAGGGAGTCGTTTGTCAATAAGGGCAGGTTTCCAACCTCTACATGGAACACTTTGAAACCCAAGCTCTAGAAAAATCGGATCACAAACCCAAACTCTGGCTCAGATATGTAGACGACACCTTCATAATCTGGCCACATGGGAAAGAAAAACTGGACAACTTCCTCACACACCTCAACAGCCTACACCCCAAAATACAGTTCACCATGGAAACAGAAGCTAACAACCAACTTCCCTTCCTGGATGTCTTAGTCTACAAGAAATCCAATGGCTCCCTAGGACACACCATCTACCAGAAGAAAACACACACAAACCGCTATCTGCACGCTCTCTCACACCACCACCCAGCACAGATCAACTCTGTAGCCAAGACACTCATCTCCAGAACAAAACGCTTAGCTGACGAACAACACCTAAAACCCGAACTACACACTCTCACCAATGTACTAACATCCAATGGATTCCATAGAAATAAGATTACAAACCTAATCCAAAAAGAAACCCCCACCAAAATCCAAGACAAAGAACAAGAAAACGGCAAAGCCCTCCTCCCATACATAAAAGGCACCACAGACAGAATCAGTAAGATCCTCCATAAACACAACATCAAAACAGCATTCTGCACAAACAGAAAAATATCCACCATCCTTAGAAACCCCAAAGATAAAATTGAATTAGAAAATCAAGGAGTATACGAAATCCCATGCACCACTTGTCCCACCACATACATCGGACAAACCAACAGAAGAATAAGTGCACGCATTGAAGAACATAAGAACTCAGTCAAAAAAGAGGAACCAACATCTTCCCTGGTCCAACACCTTAAAGCCACAGGACATGAAATTGACTTTAAAAATACCAGAACCATTGCCAAAAGTGAACATTTTAATAACAGAATAATCAGAGAAGCCATCGAGATAGAAAAACGCCCACACAGCATGAACAAGCGAGATGATACCTCCCGCCTACCAGCCATTTGGAAACCTGCCCTTATTGACAAACGACTCCCTAACCCCAAAATCTTAAACCCCTCTGCAACTCAGACTAACCTGAGCACAACCAAACAGAACACTCCCCCAGCCAATCAGAGCACAGCCAAGCCCCTAACCATTCAGAACACACCTCCACCCAATCAGAACACAGCCAAGCTCCCATCCAATCAGTTCATACCCTCACTGGCAGTTAAAAGGAAGAAACAGCTAAAAACCACACATTGCTGCTCAAAGCAAGAAGCTAAAAACACCAGCCTGAAGATGACGAATGTGACTTCGTCGAAACGTTGCCAAGACACTTCCAATTTTACGCGGGAGAAAACCCGAACAACCAAAGACCTATATACAAATACCCGCGAAAACCTCAGAAAAAACATATATATATATATTTACATTGCCCCCAACAATCTGGGTCCTCATTTTACCTACCCCGGAAGGATGGAAGGCTGAGTCAACCTTGAGCCGGTGAGATTTGAACCGCTGACCTGCTGAACACAGTCAGCTAAAGTGGCCTGCAGTACTGCTTCCCTGCCAGCTCTGCAGCAGCCCCCCCCCCTTTCCCCCGTGGGATTGGGAAAGTGCTGCAGCAGGGCAGGAGGCTTCAGAGGCTGGGACCCTCTGGGTTTAACGCCCCAAGGGCAGTTTGGTATCAAAACGAGGCCTGTCGTGAAGCCGCCCTCCCCCAGGGGCTCCGAGCGGCCCCCTCCTCTTATGGCGCCCCTCCCTCAGCGAGAGAAGGGGGGTGAGCCCTGCAGAGCCGCTTCCCCGCTTCTTTTCCTTCCTCTTCCTAGGACGCTGCTGGAGGCCACGCCGTCCCCCGTGGTTTTCTGCCACAACGACGTGCAAGAAGGTGATGGGGCCCAGAGGGTGGGAGGGAGGGAGGGAATCCGGGCCCTTGGAAGGAGCCCAGAAGGAGCCCTCCGAGGTCCTGGCTGGGCTGAGGGCCAATTCCCCTTCCCTCCCCACGCAGGGAACATCCTCCTCCTGGCTGGCCGCGAGGCCTCCTCCAGGGACCGGCTGATGCTGATCGACTTTGAGTACAGCAGCTACAACTACCGGTAGGCCGGCAGCCCCCTCGCCCTCTGGGGGGTCTGGGCAGAAGAGCGGGCAGACCAAGGGGGCCTTTGCTGGGCAAAAGAGGATTTGCAATTTCAGCTCTTCCAGGAAGTTTCTCTGCTTTCCAGTCGTGCTTTCCGTGAAATCCTCTCGCCAAATTCCCACAGGCCCAGCCTGGCTTCACTTGCGTGGGACTGGCTGCTAGTCACAAATTGCCCAATTACATTTTAATATGCCGGCTGTCTCTCCACCTTAGCCTTAATTGGCTTGTCAAAGTGACCCGTTTCTTGGATGTGTTTTTATATTGCAGTAGAAACTAACCCAACAGTCTGGGTTTCTATAACATGCTCTGTCACGCACACACACACACATATGCACACACATAAACCCCGAGCAAAGATTAAAAATAAGCCTAGTGTGTTGATGTTCCGGCAAGTCTTTAACTGACCCGATTAAAAATGTTGTTCAAACGCAGCAATTCTGTGAAGCTGCCCAGATTCAGAGAAATGGGTTGCGGGAATTGCTCGACTTACAACGATAATGGAGCCTCCACATCACAGTTGTAAGCTGTGACAATCGGAAGAGAGACTGGTTATGTATCCGACCCAAATTTACAACCTGTTTTGCGGCGGTCATTAAGTGAATCAGTGGTTTGCAAAGGGTGCAGTAAATGCTGGGTTTCCCGCAAAACTGTCACGAAATGCGGTCATGTGACTGCGGGACACTGCAAGCAGCTTTCAACACAGCCGTGTCACTTGAGTGCCCAGAGTTCAGTCGTGTGACCATAGAGGGAGGGAGGGAGGGGCAGCCCTGGAAACTTTGAATCCGGCTTGTAAGTTGCTCCAAGGTAGGACCTTTATCACTGTGAACAGTCGCTGAGCAATTGGTTGTAGGTTGAGGGCTACCTGTGTTGTGTAGATGGAGGAACACAGAGGTGTGTTGAACAATCCCAGTGCTTAGCCTCCTTCTCTGCAGGGGCTTTGACATCGCCAATCACTTTTGCGAGTGGGTCTACAGCTACGCCCACAACGAGTGGCCGTTCTACAAAGCCAGCCCGGAGAACTACCCCAGCCCCGAGCAGCAGGTACTGGGCTGGGCTCCTGTGGGGAGGGCAGGGCTGGCTTGGAGGGGGCTCAGGAATTCTGGGAGTTGAAGTCCACAGGTCGTAGAGCAGCCACAGTTGCCCATCCCTGGCGTAGAGCCTTGTGGAATCAAACGCAGGACCCGAACCTCGGGCCTCGCTGCAGTATCTGCTGGAGTATTTATTGGAGAAGTAACGGGAGGGGCTCCTACAGTCTAAAGGCTGCACACACAGATTTATACATTTCAGGGAAGGGGGAGAAAATAACACAGTCATACGTGTGCATAAGTAATAGGTGGTGAAAGCACAGATACGCCTAATAAGCAAACCTCAAGCTACTTCCCTGCCCATTTGTGGTTTCTATCCTCAAAAAAAAAAAAGATGATTGTCTTAATAGCAAGAAACACATTGCATACGCGGCCGTAGAGGTTTTAACGAAGCAGACGCAGAACGGAGGATTCCAAGGCTGCCCCAGTTAGCACCCATTCTTTCTGCCTTTCTAACCTGCTCTTGTCCCTCCAAGAAGTCAATTGCCCTCCCAGGCTCAGAGGCCCCGCTTTGCAGGCACCAGCAAGGACCCCGCAGGACTGGGCAGAGCGGGTGTCTAGGAAGCCTTTGGAAACGGAGTTATTTCAGCTCAGCTGGGCTCCCGGGCTTGTCTGGACGTTTGGAACTTGAGCTACGGAGCTTATAACTTGATCTCTTGATTAGTTCTGCTTTCTACTGTGGGAGTCTTAATTCAAGTGCCCAGTTTTTCCTTGTTCTCGATGAGTGCAAGTTGCCCAGGGTGTGTTTGGCAGTGAACAGAATAACAGGAGTTGGGTGGGGCCTTGGAGGTCTTCTAGCCCAACCCCCTGCTCAAGCAGGAGACCCTGTATCATTTCCCACAAACACTCCAATGATGGAGCGCCCACAGTTTCTGAAGGGAAGCCGTTCCACTGATTGATTGTTCTGTGAGGAAGTTTCTCCTTAATTCCAGGTTTGTTTCTCTCCTTGATGAGCTTCCATCCGTTGCTTCTTGTCCTGCCTTCAGGTGCTTTGGAGAATAGCTTGACTCCCTCTTCTTTGGGGCAGCCCCTGAGATGTTGTAACGCTGCTATCCTGTCACCCCTGGTCCTTCTCTTCGTTAAACTAGACATCCCCAATTCCTGCAACCGTTCTATCTTTTAGCCTCCAGTTCCTTCAGTCATCTTTGTTGCTCTTCTCTGCACTCTTCCTAGAGTCTCCACAGCTTTTTCATATTGTGGTGAGATGCTGGGTGGGTGCAGAGCTGACTGATGAGTCAATTGGGCACCTTCAGCAAAGGAGCATCGTGCACCCCTGGGAGTTGGCAGGGACAGGTGAAGAAAGCCTGCTTCCTTGTGGTTGAGTTCCACTCTCACCATCCCTGATTTATTTCGGCACCCATTGTCCACGGGGTCTCGGGCGCTTCGCCTAGGGGCAGGCAGCAGGCTCCATTTCTGTAGCAACTGAAGGTGACTTGCCTCACCTGTCTCCTCTTCCTTCAGCTGCACTTCATCCGGTGTTACCTGGAGGAGACAGGTGGGAAGGCTGCCCCACCCTCGCTGGAGGAGCAGAAGCGCCTAGAGGCCAAGATGCTTCTGGAGATCAGCCGGTCAGTGGTGGGGGTGGAGGATGGGGGTGGCCAGAACTGCTGCAGGAGCAGCTGGCAGCGGCATTTCCTTGGGTTGGGGTGCTGGGGCTGTTCCCTATAAGGGTGAGGGGAGGCATTACGAGGGGCTTCGGTCTGCCCCTCATTTCCCTGGGAAGTGCTGCTGATTAGAAAAGAGCTGCCTCTGTGGGGCAGGAATGGCAGAAACCCCCCCCCATCCTCATCTGACTCTTTCTCCTTCTCCCCCCCCCCTTCCAGGTTCACCTTGGCCTCCCATTTCTTCTGGGGCCTGTGGTCTATCCTGCAGGCCAAGATCTCCACCATTGAGTTTGGCTACCTGGTGAGTGCCGAGGACCGGTTCCCTCCCTCCCCCAGGGCCACCAGTTCCACGACTGCTGGTCCGAGGGCCCTTGCGAGGGGCATCCCACGGGGGCACTGGGCTGCCCGTCCCTTTTCCCAGAGCAGAATGGGTCTGGCAGGAAACATGGGCCACTTTGCCCAGTGCATCATCGGCCTTCCCTCCCGCCAGGAATATGCCCAGTGCCGCTTTGAGGCTTACTTCCAGCAGAAGGCCAGGGGCGAGTGACCGTTGGCTGGCCGGTGGCCAGGAGACCAGCCTGACTGGGGGCAACATATCAGACAGGTGGGGCTGAAGAACCAAGATTGGGGGGGTGGCTGGCCAGCCCCCTTGCAAGACGTGCTATCTGCACGTGAGCTTCGGGACCACTTGGAGATGCCCGGATTTATTCAGTGAACCTAATTTTGGGGGGCTCCTGCGAGCGCATGCGGTCAACCTCAGTATCCTTCTGGATCGGATGAGGGGTGGGAGGCGCCATGCTTCAGGGAATCAACGCTTCCTCAGCAGTCGGTTGCGGCCCAGGTGGATGGAAGGATATCATATCTACAGCCAGTCACGTGGGGAGGGGGTCCTCCGGGCTCCATGCTTCGCCGTCTCCTGCTGAACATCTGCATGAAACCGCTGGGTGGGAGGGTCTCCCAGGCCAACAGGAAGTAGGCAACAGGGGCAAATAAATGACCTGACCCCCGTGTGAACTTCGCACCTGAGGGCCTCGTTGCTCCCACCTGACAGTATGCCAATGATACCCATCTCTCCCCCCCCCCTCCCCGTTCAGGTATGTTCCCGTCCTTGGCCTTGGAGGGGGCTGCATTTCCCCATTCCAGACTGGGGCGCAGCCTGGGGGTCCTTCTGCCACAAGAGAAGCCTTCGCACTTTTCATCCTGTGCACCAGTTGCCCCCTTTCCCTTCCCTTCAGTCGTGTCCTGGTCACCCCACAGATTGCTGTAATGAGGTTTGCATGGCGCTACCCTTGGAGACTATCCAGAAGCTACTGTGCACACAGTAATGGGCGCCTTTCAGGCACCCCTCAGTCACCATTGCAACGGGTGCTGTGCTGGCTGACAGTCGACGTCCCGAGTGCCGGTCACTGGCTCCGACACTCTGCAGGTCAGAGAACCAGAGGGCCTGCTAGTCTCTGGTCATTTCTGGGTATGCGCCAAGTTTCCCTTCCCCCCCCCCCCCGAAGCACTGCCAGCTTGTTGGACCTGGGAAGCCCAGCTTCTCCTTGGAGGGCCCCACCCCTGCCCCAGCCCCCTCCAGAGACAAGGACGGCACCCCTCACCTGGGGCTGCAGAAAGTTTTGAAAACTTGGCTTTGATTCCCAGCCAGAGGCTGCTTATGATGCTCGGTGGGCCCCGTTTCCTGCTGATTCTGTTGTCGATTTTACTCTGGGCTAATAAATTGATGAATTTATGAGGGACGCCGGTGACACCCCCCCCCCCCAGAGCTTGCTTGCTGTCCGTTCTCAGGGCAGCCCGTCACTCAAGCACTGAAATGCAGCTGTTGATGAAGGCTTTGCACTCTCGGTCAGAATATTGTACAAAATAAAAAAATGTTTATTTGTAGAAAGCATGCATGCCTTATTTATTAATTAATAATAAAGGTTAAGCCACTGGAGGCAACGCCGGGTGGCTTAACCTTTTTAGCTTCTTGAAAAAAGGGGGGGGGCTGAAGGTAGGGAGTTCAGAAGTTACTGCGGGGGGGGGGGTGGAGTGGGAGGGAGGGAGGGGTGTTGCATTTGAGATCCAGCAGTAGCATCCTGTGGGCAGGGCAGCCAATTGCTCCCCTCGCTCTGAACACACAAAGGCTCCTCTACGCTACCTGGACCGGACCCCGGGCTTGTTGCAGGAGGAGGAGGACCCAGCTGCCCAAAAGCCCCCCCCCCCGTGGATCGGGAGAAGCCCAGGCAAAAACGGCGTGAGAGAAAAGGTTGCTCATTTCCCAGGCCCGGATTGAGAGGAGAGACCGACTAAGGTGGAGATTAAGGGGCCACCAGGTGAGCTGAGTGACAACTCAGTGCGGCTCCCACCAGGCCTGGGGGGGGGGGTGGAGGAGGCCGGGGGGAGGGGGCTTCCACCCACGGATTTTCTCAGTGGATCCCAAACTCCACCCAAGGGGGTCCCCGTTAATGCCCCTATTCCAGCCGAGCTGCTGCTTATCCCTGCCACTGTCCCCAGCGCCCTCCGGGGATTGGCCGGCCCGGTTTTGAGGTCCACCTAGAGCAGTGGTTCTCAACCTTTCTAATGCCGTGACCCCATAATACAGTTCCCCATGTTGTGGTGACCCCCAAGTGGGTGTGGCCACCAATAAGAGGGAGTAGGACAGCTAGGGAAAAGGGAACAAAATGGTGGACAGCATGGTTTGGCGACCCCCGTGAAATGGTCATTCGACCCCAAATGGGGTCCCGACCCACAGGTGGAGAACCACTGACCTAGAGCAATGTTTCTCAACCTTGACCATTTTAAGGCATGTGGACTTCAACTCCCAGAATTCCACAGCCAGCATTGCCGGCTGTGGAATTCTGGGAGTTGAAGTCCACATGCCTTAAAATGGTCAAGGTTGAGAACCACTGACCTAGAGTTAGAGGGCTACAAACAAATGCTCCACCTTAGTAACATACATTTTGGGCTCAATTGTGGTCGTAAGTTGAGGACTGCCGGGAGTTGCGTTAGCGAGAACAGAGCACGTGCGGGGATGCACTCAGCCTCCCCCCCAAAGTGGACACAGCCCCTTCGGCCGGCAGGAGGCCCGGCGGAGGATGCCCCCCCCTTCAGGAGGGTCTTCAGACAAAGGCCACAGAGCCTCTGGCCCAAACAGACCCCAGGCCCACCAGGGCCGCTGGACAAAGGAAACGGCCTGATTAACTGCAGGCGAGACGCAGGCAATCCTCGCTTAACACCCGCTGAGTTATCCACCGTCCAAAGATACGAAGGATCTTCCTCTGAGCCCGTTTCGGGCGCTTGGCAACCGGGTCACACTGATGACCCTTCGGAACGGTCTCATAACTACAATTTTGGGCCATTTTTTGCCCATTTCTACGTTTACTTCAGATTCCCAGCAAAAAGTAAAAGGGCTTCATTTAGCAACTGAGGCGTTCACTTATTCGCCGCCACAGCTGTAAAATTGGGCACAGCTACCTGGTGGCCCACTTAACAACAATCACCACGACTTGACCATAATTCTGGGCTCATCACAAATTGAGGATGACCTCCCCCCCTACGTTGGCCCTGTAGGATGACCTGGGGCTCCTCTGATCTTCTGGATTTCAAAGAAATGAGTGCGGGGATTGGGCGCAACTTGAGCAATCGCCCCCTCATGGCGGTCTTCAACGGGTCACCAGAGGCACGAAACATTTTGTCCGAGGAGGGGCTGCACCTCCTGCCTCAAAGGTGGCAGCACTACACACACACACACACACCCCCGTCATCCTTTCAGGAAGGACTTCAAAGAAAGTCTAAAAAAATGGGCGGAGCAAAATACCGGCCAGCTTTCCAGCTGGGCAGCGGAGGAGACTGCAGTGGGCGCTTTCATGGGGGACCCCGGCTGGTCCTTTGGGGGGGATGCAGTCGGGGGGGGGGGCTTTCAGAGCCTCCAAATCTGTGAAGAGCTCAAGGCTGTTTATACCTTTCAGCTGGACATCCTGGACCCCAAAACTGGACAGCTGCAGTTCGGACAACTCATGGAATCCCAGCTGGGGTTTTTTGGAAAGAGGAGGCTGGAGGGCGACAGTCGCCTGGCCAGAGAGGAGGGGGCGGGGGGAGGCTGGCTGGCTGGCAGGGGGGGGCAGTCCAGGCCAGCAGCTGTCCTCTCCTCCTCCCAGCCAGGCGCCCTCTCACCCAAATCCCAGACTCTATTTATAGCCTGGCGGGAGGGCCTCCCTGTTCCCGCACGTTCCGCAGCTACGGAGCGCCCCAATTGTGCCCTTGTCCTGGGAGCCCATCCCTGTTGCCGGACAAGGAAGTTCTCGCTTGGCCTCTGCCACACAGAAACCCGCTCAAGCCATCGTTTAGCTTGGTTTGTTGGTTAGGCAACAAATGATAATGAACGGAACCATGGCTTAGCCTGAGTTTAGTGGGCACATCAGGATGAGGGGCTCTGCTGGGGGGGGGCTGAGCGACCTCCCTTTTCCTGCCAGAGGGCCTCCCCTCAATTTGCAGCTGACCTTTAACCTGCAGTTGAAGGAGCCAGTCGCAATTTTCCCTCCTTATAGATTCCCTGTGCAAACAGTTAAGCAGCTTCTTGCAAACTGGAAATTTCTGTCACACATTCACACCACTGATCGGTTTACCCCGTTGCAGCTCACTCACTTACCCCATTTGCTGCATTAACAGCATGCAATCAGCTTTAAACCAAGGAGCAAAGCATGCTGGGCAGATGAATCTGCTGGAGCTTTGTGGCCTGGCCTGGTTCAGCCTGTCGTGTGAACCACCCAGGATGCCCGGAAGAGCTCGTGGCCTAGCCCAGCCTAGCCCTAGCCAGTGCGCAGATAACTGTTGCTCCACGAGTGACTCCGGAAGGCGATAAATCAGAAAATAAAAACAAAAACCAAGCAATACTTGGTAGCCAGCTGAGCATGTCGTGTGAATGTGTCTGCTGGGCTTTTACTTAAACTGTTACGTGTTATGCGAATCCGCCCGGAGAACGCAGAGAAAGACCCCCCCCCGCTCTTTGCCCGGGAAGGCTCTGCGTCGGCCTGCCGGACAGTCCGAAACACAATAGGGCCGCGTGCTTCCAGGCCGGGGTCTCGCCGGCGCCCCGGGTAGGTGCTGAGCAGAGGAGACCAGGCCCGGAGAGGGGCGGCCGCAGGGTCTCTCAGTTCCCGCAGTACCTCGAAGCAACTCTGGCTCATGTCGTGGGAACGGGGACCGCCCGCGGCTACGAATGGCCCCGTGGCAAGGATAGCGCGGCCACGCGGGGCACTGGGCCTTCGCCTTTCAGACCTGACCCGCGTCTGGAAGCGGGCTGCTTTGCACACGTCCTCGCCTAGGAAAGTCGGGCGAGGGGGCGAGTCGAAGCGCACGGAGACGGGGCTGAGCCGGGGCGGAACCGCGGCCTGCGCGACGGTTGGGCGGAATCCTGGGGCCGCCGCGCGCCTGCACAAAGGCGCGCAAAGGCCCGTGGAGAGCAGGATGGGCGCAACGGCCCACTCCACCACGCCTGGGCCCCGCCGCCCACGCCGGGCCCGCGGTGCCCCGGCCCGGCTGCCCCCGCGAGAAGCCCCCTTGGCCGGGGAGGGGTCGGGCGCAGAATGGGGAAGAGGCGGGGCGGGCGGCCGGGACGGCGACGTGGCGGAGGCGGCCAAGGGCGGGCGGGGCGAAGCCTCCGGGGCCCCCGACCGGCCCCCCCCCCGGCCGCGCTGCTCTGCGCTCCGCGATTTCAAACGGGCGCTCGAGGCAGCCAGAGAAGCGCCGTCCCTGCAAAGGCCGCCCCACTCGGGACCGGGTCGTCTTTGATCGGGAACCGCGCGTGGAAAGTCTCGTGGGTGCCTCGCCTCCTTCGACCCCGCCAGACTGGGGCGCTGGACGGGGCGGGGGGTCGGCTTCCCTTCCGCTCTCCTCTCCCCCCCCGCGGGGCCGAGAATAGGGGGAGGGGCTGGAGGCGCCGCCCGCTTCCCCTTTCCAAGTAGGGCAGCCACCGCCCCCGCCGGGTGTCCGGTTACAGGAGGGCCGCCGCCGCCGCCGGCTGGGGGGAGGCCCGCGGTCACTGGGCCCCCGCCTTCTCCCGCGTGGACCGAGCAGCCTCCCCGTCCGGCCGGTGAGCTCCGGGGCTGCCCAGGGCGGGAGTGGGGCGCGGGGATCTTCGGCCCGCGCGGGGTGGCCTGGCGCGCCCGGGGAGGCAGGAAGGGCGTCCGGACAGGCGCTCGAGCCCTTCAGCCCCCGGTGGACCCCCGAGAAAGTGGCCGCCCTCCCCGCCGCCCATAACTGGTCGAGGGCCCCGGAGTGATGGTCTCGGGAGATGCCAGTGAGTCCCCCCCCTTTCGAAGTCGAGATCAGGCCTTCACCTGGGAGCTTCTGTCGCTCCAAAATCTTCCTTTCTCTTGGGACTCCAGCTGCCCGAAGACCCCCTCCCCGCTGCCCTTCCTTGCCACAGCTGCAGCCCCCCAGGCTGTCTCTGTGGGGAGGCTTTCTTAGGACAGCTGCACGGGCAGAATGGGGGGTGGCTGGGGGGCTACCGGAAATCCCTGGAGTCCAGAATCAGAATAGACCTGGAGGGCACCTCCGAGGTCTTCTAGTCCAACTCGCTGCTCGAACAGGAGACCCTGTACTATTTCCCCCTCCCCCTTCCTAAGTCCAGATCAGACCTTCACCTTGAGAAGGTTGACCTTAGGGGCCGGCCTGACTTCCTGAGAGGAGAGCCGCGGGCCAAGAGGGTGGGGCTGGCTGGGTGACGGCCCTTGGCTGATCTCCAACGGGGGGGGGGGGACAGAACACCCAAAAAATCCTGCGCTGCAAAGGAAAGCCCATCCCAGAAGTCTGTGGATTGAGGAAGGGTCTTCTGCATATTGCCAGGGAGGGGATGTGGAGGGTTGGGCCACCTGCTGCCAGGCACTTCAGCCCTGCTCTACCTGGCACCCCTGCCCAGAAATACTGCACCCCGAGCCAGCTCAACTGGAGTGGCTCCCTCAATTCGCACCCAGCGTGGGGCCAGCTCCCGAGGCAGCAGGGCTGGAGCGGAGAATTCTGGCTTGGGGGTCTTGAGATTGTTCTTAAATATAGTAAATAATAATGATAAATACACAGTATAAATTCCCGGGGGGGGCTGTCTTTTACCAGCAGCCCCCAAGGCCCTTTCCCCTCCTGGCTGGTGGGCAGAGAGAGGGGGGCACCCACCCGGCCCCTGATTCCAGCATGGGATGCCAGCCTCATGTGACAGAACAGCCTCGCTGGCCAAGTGGCTCCTTGTGTAAACAGTCCTGGGTGGCTGCAGCTCAGCTGGCGGGGAGGGGAGGGGAGGGAAGCCCCACAGGAAGTGAAGCTTTGCCCCCAGGCCCTCATGGCGACCTTAACCCCAGGCCCTGCGTGTTCCCCACAGGTCTAGGGCAAAAAGGAGAAGAAGAGAGAGAGAGAGAGAGAGAAGGAAGTCCTCAAGGTCTTCTCCCCCCCCCCAAGAGTGCACCCCTTTTCCGAGGGGCTGCTGCTGCTGCTGACCCTGAGCCTAAAGCCACCTTTCCAGGTTAGTGGGATGGGGGGGGGCGGGAATGGGAAGTTCTGGTTTCCTGGCATCGGCCCACGGAGCCTCTTGAGCCGGGACCCGTGGGATTACGTGGGCAAGAAGGGGCAGCACATGGGCTGTACGGGTGGCAGGCCTGCAGCAGACTCCAGGTTTGGGGAGCGAGGGGGCAGAAAGTGGGGGTAAGCTAAGGCGCACCGCTTTGTGTGGGCCTCCCAAGGGGAAGGGCCACCAGGTTGAGGTAGGTGGAAAATTGCCACTAAGAGAAATGATAAAGTACTTTTGAATTATATTTTAATTAACAGGGGTGATGTTTTGAAAGCGTTAACTAATACTATAAACCGGCTGAGGGTGATGACCTGTGTGCAGTTCTATGGAGAAACATTTTTACAAGAAGTGCCAACCTAAAGTCATAAATGGTGTAAGAGATTACACGTGTAGGGAGGGGAGTGTGGTTTTCTGCACAATGTATAAACTTCCCTTTTTCCTATGTGTGTGGTCTTAGGACATGCACTTCTCTCTTTTAGTGTGTTAAAGGTAGATAAGAAGTCATCCGTTAGGTCAGTGTTTCCCAAACTTGACAATTTTAAGGCATGTGGACTTCAACTCCCAGAAACACTGCGTTAGGTTAAGCGTGGGCGGCAAGCTCTATAAGAATGACACCCTGGGAGTAACTCAGGGTTCAGAATTTGTCCTATGAATACTCTGAACCTTTGCGCAAATAAAACCTGTTTTCTCCAACCCTTCGTGGTCTTGTCTTCGTGGTTTTTCCACTACAAGGTGAGGACCCCTGCCCCGGTTCCCCCTTCCAGGCAAGATGGCGGAAGCCCACCAGGCCGTCGCCTTCCAGTTCACGGTCACCCCAGACGGGGTGGACTTCCGGCTGAGCCAGGAAGCGCTGAAGCAGATCTATCTGTCTGGCCTCCATTCCTGGAAGAAACGCTTCATCCGGCTCAAGGTGAGCTGGGGGGGGCACACGGGGGGAGCCCCCACATCTCTTCACCCCACAGGTCATACTTTTTGTGGCTTGAGAGTGAGTGAGTGGCCGGACCTTGGCCTGGCTGCCTTCCTGGGAGCCCCCTCCCCTCCCCTGGCAGGCTGAGCATGGGGGGGCCCACAGCCCACCCCTATCACTGGGAGCACCCCCACGTCGGCCAGGGACCCCAGCTGTGTGGTTACTTGGCCAGCTTTTGCAAGGCAGAGAAGGGGTAGGTGAGGTGGCCCTAAGCCTGGGGGGGGGTCCTCCTCCCCTGATATTAGAGACACCCGGGGGAGATGAAATGGGGGCCATGATGGCTCCCAGGCTCTGTTGTCAGGGTGGTCTCTGTCCTGGGTGGGAGGTGGGGGCTTCCGGTCCTCCAAAGACCCCCTTCTGACAGGGCCCATTTCACAGAACAGCTTCCTGACCGGGGTGTATCCTGGCTCCCCCTCCGGCTGGCTGGCCATCACTGCCGTGACCGTGGGCAGCACGTGGGTCCACGTGGACCTCTCCCGGGGCGTGATCAGCAGCATCCAGAAGCACTTGCCCAGCAGGTGAGGGCCAGTCCTGACCCCTCCCTCCTGGGCCCTAGGAGGGGAAGCACCCGGAACAACGCAGCTTCCTGCTCTCCGGCCCTTTGCAGGGGGGGGGGGATGGTTGGACTCTTGAAAGACCCGGGGGTCCTGCAGCCCTAATCCTACCCCCCTCAAGGGCTCAAGGCAGCATTTGGAAGGGGGTTTGAGGCATGGGGGGGCAGGGGAACTCCAGAAGGCAGCCGTGTCTTCCCAAGGCCATGTCTGAAAGGGGGCCTTTACCCCCTTTCTCAAGGGCCCTGCTTCACCCCTCTTGACCTCTGAGCACGGAAGTTCTCCCCCTCTTTTCCTGGGACACAACTCAGCCCTCCTCAGCAGGGCCCTTGGGAGCTGTAAGGAATCTTAGAGGTCATCAAGCCCATCCCACTCCACCCACATACTGCACTCTCCTACACCATCCCAACGGATGACTATCCAGCCCCTCTTTGTAAAGCTCCAGTGAGGGGAAGACCCCCCCCCTCCAGCCACTCACCTGCTCGGACCGCCGTGTCCCTCCAGCTGCAGCTGCTACTTCAACCTCCGCCAGCAGACCCTGCTGAGCGCCCTGCTCTTCTCCACCGGCCTCTGGATCCTGGGCGTTTGGCTTCGCCGCCAGATGTTGAAGCTGCTGCTCTCCTACCACGGCTGGATGTTCGAACCCCACGGCAAGACCAGCTTCAGCACCAAAGCCTGGGTGGTGAGCCCCAGGGGGGCCGGGGCAAGCCCCTCTCTGTCAGGGGAGGAACCCTTGCCCCTCAGCTCCATCTTGCTCCCCACGAGACGAGGGGGCCGGGCTGGGGGCCTGAGCGTGGTGGGGCTGCCTGGGACAGAGGCCCCCCTCCCTGCCTGACCGCCGTCCCCTCGCAGGCCCTGGTGAAAGTCATGTCCGGCCGCCACCCCATGCTCTACAGCTTCCAGACCTCCTTGCCCAAGCTGCCGGTACCCAGCGTGGAGGGCACCATCCGTAGGGTGAGAAGGGCTGCCCTCCTTGCCCACCCCGTCCCACAGCCGCCGAACACGGGGGTGGGCAGCTGCCCTGAGCTGTGGGTGGGCCTCTTGGGGCTGTGGGGAGAAGGGGCTGCTGCCTGGAGGGTGGGCCAAAGCTTGTGGCCAGGGATGGGATGGGGGCAGGGAGGAGCCCTGAGTGGGTTCTCCGTGTCTGGGGGGGGGGTCTGCCTGCCGCCCCCTGCTTCTTGTCTCTTCCTGCTGGGAGGGAGGGGGCCGGGTGATGTTCCAGTTGCTGCTTCTGGCTGGGCAAGGTCTGCGAGCTAACAGACCCCAGGCGTGTCATGCCTTCATTTGAAAGGGGGGGGTTCCCTATCCCTAGAGAGAAGAGACCCCTCCTCCCAGTCCGGTCTGTGGGGCTAAAGCAGAGGCTGTCTGATGCACTGGGGCTTGTGCTCGTGCGGGGGACCCACTGGTCTCATCTCCCCCTTTGGCCACTGGGACTGTGGGCAAGCAAAGGGGGGGGTCTCTGGGCCCAAGTGGGGCTGGGGGAGGGGGGAGCCAGTAGTGGACCTGGATACTCTGTTGCCGGCAGTACCTGGACTCTGTGCAGCCCCTGCTGGACAAGGAGAAGTACGAGCAGATGGAGGCCCTGGCCAGGGACTTCCAGCAGAAGCTGGCCCCCCGGCTCCAGAAGTTCCTGCTGCTCAAGTCCTGGTGGGCCACCAACTATGTGAGTATCTTGGCTGGGCTGCCCCCCCTGCACCCCCGCTGCCCCAGCCAGCATGGGGGCCCCACTCCTTAGAACCTCCCCCAGGAGAGCCCCCCGGCAGCCCCCCCAAGGATGCTTCTGTGCCGCAGGTGAGCGACTGGTGGGAGGAGTACATCTACCTGCGGGGAAGAGGCCCCATCATGGTCAACAGCAACTACTACCTCATGGTGAGTGGCAGCCGCTTCCGTGGGGCAGAGCCCGGCAGGGGGGTCCCTCCTTGCCTGCCAAATAATCGGCTGCTTCCTCTCTCCGCCACCCCCTCCCCGGGCAGGACTTTCTCTACATCACCCCCACGCCCATCCAGGCAGCCCGAGCCGGCAACTGCGTCCATGCCATCCTGAAGTACCGTCGCCATCTGGACCGGGAAGAGCTTGAACCCGTGAGTAAAAGTGGGGTGGGGGGGCTACAAGAGCCTGGCTCCCCACACAGCACCTCCCCAGAAGCCTTCCAGAAGGAAAGGCGCCCCCGAAGGAATCCCCCTCAGCCCGTTTCTGCCCACAGGTGATGGCGCTGGGCGTGGTGCCCATGTGCTCCTATCAGATGGAACGGATGTTCAACACGACGCGCATCCCTGGCAAAGAGGCAGGTGGGCGGCATTGGGGGAGGAAGACGCCCCTGCAGGTTGACACACACACACACACACACACACACACACACACACACAGGCACAGCCAGTGGCTCTCCTGCATTTCCAAAAGGCTGGTTTGGGGCGGTGGGGGAGGGGGGATCCCCTCCAGCCGGACAGGCATGTGAGGTCCTGAGTCAGACCTAAGGCTGCTGTGTTTGCCTGGGGGGGGGGCTGCCAATCTCCAGGCCTGGGGGGAATTCTGGCAGGACACTGGTCTGGGGGGTCACGAACCTTGCTGCTGTGGGTCAGGGTCTTCCCACCGTGTCCAACAAAGCCCACCACGGTCCGAGAACTTCCAAGCAGGAGAAGGTTTCTTTGCCTTTTGCATGCCAGTTGGGGGGGGACAGAGACAAGCTCAGCAAAGGTGCCTGGCGGCAGAGATGGAGGGGGCTGCTTAGAGCAGGGGGGGTTCTGTGCAGGGGGGGTTCTCTGGGCCCAGCAGCTGCAACTGGCTCCCTCTTCTGTCCAAGGTGGCTTAGTCGCAGGTGGGCCTCTGCGGGGTCCCGGGGTCCCAAGCCCCATGACCTCCCGCAACACAGGTGGTCCTTGGCTTACGACCACAAGCCAGACCTTGGTTAAGTGAGTTTTGCTCCTTTTTTCTCGCTACAGTTAAGTGAACCACTACAGGTGATAAGCTAGTAATCCGGTTGCTAAGTAGAACTGGCCCTCCCAGTGACTTGGCTTGCCAGAAGGTCGCAAAAGGGGACCGCATGGCCCTGGGACATGGCAGCGGTCATAAATACGAGTCAGTTGCCAGGCGTCCGAATTTTGGTCTCATGACCATGGGGATGCCGCAAAGGTGGTAACTGTGGAAAACGGTCATAAATCCCTTTTTCCGTGCCGTTGTAACTGAACGGCCACTAAATGAAGCATGACGGCATGTCGAGGACTGCCTGTAATAACAGCTTTGGCCTGAAATCAGAAATAGATCCAAATGGGGTGGAGCAGAACCGCTGGCTCAGGCCCCATGGCCCTTCAGGGACCGTGGGGGGGGTGGCCTGCCACTGACGCCAACCCCCACGGCCCCCAGACTCCCTGCTGCACCTGGTCGACAGCCGGCATCTGGCCGTCTTCCACCGAGGGCGCTTCTTCAAAGTGTGGCTGTACCAGGCGGGGAAGCAGCTGCCCCCCCGGGACCTGGAGATGCAGTTCCAGCGCATCCTGGACGACCCCTCCCCTCCGCTGCCCGGGGAGCAGAGGCTGGCGGCCCTCACCGCAGGGAGCAGGTAGCCCTTGCGGGAGGGGGGGGGCGGAGGGAGGCCCCCCACCACGGGAGTCCGCCTGCGCCCTGAGCCGGGCCGGAGAAGGGGCTGCTGCTCTGAAGGCGCAAGCAGCACCCAGGCCCCCCTCCTTCCCCCCCCCCAGGGTCCCCTGGGCCGAGGCCCGTGCCAAGTTCTTCAGCCGGGGCAAGAACCGGGCCTCGCTGGACTGCATCGAGCGGGCCGCCTTCTTCCTGGCGCTGGACGAGGAGGCGCAAGGCTACAGCCCCGAGCGGGAGGAGAGCCTGAGCGACTACGCCAAGAGCCTCCTGCACGGGCACTGCGACGACCGGTGAGGGCAGCCCTGGCACCGGGGGGGGGAGGGAGGGGCAGGCCTTCTTTACCTGCCCCCTGCCTTTGGCTCCCATGGCCAATTACTCGGGGCCGTGAGTGCTCCTTCCTTCGTCCTCCGCTAAGCTCTGTTGCTTAGTTGGGCTTTGCCTCATTTTATGACCTTTCTTGCTGTTAAATGAATCCCTACAGTTGATAAGTTAGTAACTCGGTCGTTAAGTGAATCTGGCTTCCCCCGCTGACTTTACTGGTCAGAAGGTCGCAAAAGGGGATCATGTGACACCTCTGGGATGCAGCGACCGTCATAAGTCAGGAACCGGTTGCCGAGCGTCCAAATGTTGATCTCGTGACCTTGGGGATACTACAAAGGTCGTAAGTGTGAAAAATGGTCATAAGTTATGTTTTTTAATGCCGTCATAATGTTGAACGGCCACGAAACTAACCCTTGTAAGTCGAGGACTGCCTGTACTTCTGTTTTTCCCACAACAGCCCTGTGAGGTGGACTGGGCTGGGAGAGAGGGACTGGCCCAAGGCCACCCAGCCGGCTTTCACGGCTAGGGCAGGACTAGAACTCGCCGTCTGCTGCTTTTCAGTTGAATGCCTTAACCACTAGACTGAACTGTCCCTTCTCCACCCTGGACCCCACTGTTTTCCTTTAGGGGCCGCCCCCCTCCCCGGATACTATGGGGCTGAGCAGGGCCCCTCCCCTCCCCTCCCTCAGGCCCTGATGAGCTTGGGGCAGAGAGCAGGAAGAAGGCAGGGGAGGGGGTCATCTTGATCCTGGGAATTCTGCGCCCCTCCCCCCCGGACACTCCCTCCCCCCGCAGAGGGGAGGGCTGCAGGGGTTCCCCGGAGCCCCTGCCAGCCTTGGGCTCCCTCCCACAGGTGGTTCGACAAGTCCTTCACGCTGGTGGTCTACCAGAACGGCAAACTGGGGGGCAACGCCGAGCACTCGTGGGCCGACGCCCCCGTCATGGGGCACCTCTGGGAGGTGAGCGGCCACGTCGGTCTCCCTTCGGGGGTCCCTGCCGAGGCCCCGGGAAGGGCCACAGCCTGTTCAGTGCTCCAGCATTGCTTGGGGGCAGGCTGGCTGGGGCTGATGGGATTGGGTGGCCTATCTAACCCTGGGGTGCCCTTTCCTTCCTTCCCAGTTCATGCTGGCGACAGACCAGCTGCAGCTGGGTTACTGCAATGGCGGGCACTGCCAGGGGGTGCCCAACACCGACCTGCCCCCTCCTCAGCGTTTGGTTTGGGACCTTCCAGAAGAGGTAGGTCCGGTACCCATCCGGGGGGGGGGCCTGAAAAGGGCTGAGTGGAAAGGAGGTGTGTTCTTCCCTTAGTATCACACACACACACACACACACACACACCGAGAATTATCCTGCCAAGGAAGCAGGTGGGAGACCCCACGATGGGGGTGTTGTGTGTGAAGGTTGTTAAGAGAAAGAAAGTCTGCCCAGCAGTTGCCGTGTAGGATGGGGCCCTTGAGGCCATCCAGTCCAGCCTCCTGGTTGACTGCAGGGATCCCCATTAAAGCCTCCCTGCCAGAGAGCCCCCCCCCCACTCCGAAGGGCAAAGCCCTCCCTTGAGGAAAGCTGGCACAGACTGGCTGGGTCACCAGAGAGCCACGCCGAGCCAAGTGGGACGCTGTGATTGTGGGAACCCCACAGGGTGGTTTATTGACTTCTCGTTGCGTCGTGCCAAGACCAGGATGGCGTTTTGTTGGCACAGGGCTGGGGCTGCGCCTCAGCTCCTCTCAATTTGGGTGGAGAAATTCGTGCACGGGGAGGGAGCCCCCCCCCCAGGCTCATGGATGCCAGGCACCCTCTCAGGCTGGCTCCCCCCTCCCCCAGTGCATCCGGACCATCGATGCCTCGTACGGCGAGGCCCAGGCGCTGGCCAGTGACGTGGACTTCTGCTGCTTCTGCTTCTCCACTTTCGGCAAAGGCCTCATCAAGAAAGGCCGGACCAGCCCCGACAGCTTCATCCAGATCGCCCTGCAGCTGGCGCACTTCCGGGTAGGGGGGGCAGGAAGGGAGTGCCGAGGGGAGGGGAGGTGGAAGCTGTGGGGGTGCCAAGGCTTTTGTCTTCCTCCCCCAGGACAGGGGCCACTTCTGTCTCACCTACGAGGCCTCCATGACGCGGCTCTTCCGCGAGGGCCGGACGGAGACGGTGCGCTCCTGCACCAGCGAGGCCACGACCTTCGTGCTCAGCATGAGCGACCCCAACTGCAGCGTGAGTCTCCCCCCCCCCCGATGCCCGGCTCCATCCTGCACCCTCCGCAGCCCCACCCCTGCCTTCTGTGGGGGGGAGGTTGGCGTCCCGGAAGCCCCAGAGCAGCCAATTTGGGGTGCAGATTGCCATTTGCCAGGAGGGGGGGGAGAAGGTTGTGACCGCAAGGGGCTTCGGGTGATCCGGCAGAGGGCAGCCTGGTGGTCGCCCAGCTGTTCTGCAGTGGGCAGAGGCAGGATGAAATCCAGGGCGCTTCAGATGCAGCTGCCTGGGGCTCTCCAGCCTCCTGGCCAGGGGGGGGACAGGCGGGCAGTGCCCAGGGGAGCCCGTGAGGCTTTTTGAAGGGCTCAGTGGGGGCATGGAAGTTGCAACCCGATTAGGCCACTCAGAACCTGGGGCCACCTAAGCAAGAGAAGCTCCTTCGTAACTTGGAGGACGATGGGGGGGGCTTCCAGGGGGCCCCCAATGGAGGCGGGGTCAGGATAGAGGGCAAAGGTGGCTCAAGCTGACCTCCAGCACAGGAGACGCCCTGCAGAAGCCAAGCGGCTGACCTGGCTGGGCATCAGCCCCTCCCGCTCTCCCCGTAGGCCTTGGACCGCCTGCAGCTCTTCCGGGTGGCGGCCGAGAAGCACCAGCAGATGTACCGCCTGGCCATGACGGGGGCCGGCATTGACCGGCATCTCTTCTGCCTCTACGTGATGTCGCGCTACCTCGGGGAGAAGTCGCCCTTTCTGGACAAGGTGAGGGGCCCCTGGCCGGCTTGGCTGGGAGTCACAGGCCCCGAGGGAGAGAGGCTTCTGGGGGCCCTGGAGAGGAGGAGGCGTGGGAGCCCTGCCCCCCCGTTGCCCCTTCCACAGCCGATCTGCCCCCCCCCCCGGTCACCCAGCAGGTGCCACCAAAGGGGCCCCACGGACAGCTGGGAATGGGCAGGTGGGGCAGTGGGCCCCAGAAGGGAAGGATCCAGCCCCACAGGTTTTAGGGGAAGCCCCTGCCTGGCTGGACTGCCCCATAAGCAGTGCCTGTGGGGAAGCCCTCCTGAGCAGAGGGCTGGGGTGCACCAAGGGACTGGGGGCCAGGTTTTCTGGGCTGGGCTGCCAGCAAAGCAGCGCCCCTTCCTTTGGAAGCTGGCCTGGAGCCCCCAGGCTTTTGGGAGGGGCTCGCCTGCCCCTTCCCTGCTCTGCACCAAGGCCAGCCTGAGCGGGGGACTGGGGGGGAGATGGTCGCCCACTGGGCTGTATCTTGAGAGGGAAGAGAAGCTGACCTGGCTGGGGCTGACCCCTCCTCTCCCCTCAGGTGCTGTCCGAGCCCTGGCGCCTCTCCACCAGCCAGACCCCCCAGCAGCAGATCAAGATGGTGAGCCTGGAGGCCTATCCGGACTACATCTCCTCCGGCGGAGGCTTTGGCCCGGTGAGCAGGCCGGCCGGCCGGCAGAGGGGGGCAAGCAGGGAAGGGATGGAGGCTGTGTGGACAGATGGACAGTGCCAAGGTCCTTCCGTCCCGAGGGAGGGAGGGCAGCCAGAATCAGGAGGGGAGGCGCTGACCGAGGCTTTAAGCTTTCCCTTAAAGTTCCCGCTTGAACTTGGGGGGGGGCAGCAGGAGGGGAGAAGCTTGCCCACTTCCCCACCCCACCAACCCCTTCATGGGGGTCTCTCATCCAAGAACGGAAGGCCTGGCCCCTCTTGGCTTTGGGGATGGGCCAAAATCAGCCCAGTGTGTCACCTTCTCCTGGGATGGGGAGGGCTTTGCCCAGGGAGAGCGCCCCCCTCCCTCCCTCCCCTGCCCCACAACCGATAGGCCGAGGAGGCTGCCTTGGAAGGGGGGGCGCGGTGCTTTGCTTCTTTGGGACCTGGGGAAATGTGGGCCACGGAGAGAAGAGCTGGAGGGAGGGAGGGGAAAGGGGGGGAGGGAAGGAAAAAAGAGGGAGGGAAGAAGGAAGGGAGGGGAGGGAGGGATATGGAGCCCGGAGGCGGGGCTCTGGCAAGGCATGCCAAGGGGCCCTCCTAGATGCCTCTGTCGGGGGGCCCCCCACGCCCAGCGGCTGGTCTCTCCGGCCTCAGCCTGGCCCCTCGGGGTCCGTCCCTCCCGCAGGTGGCTGACGATGGCTACGGGGTCTCCTACATCATTGCTGGCGAGAACCTGATCACATTTCACATTTCCAGCAAGTTCTCCAGCCCTGAAACGGTGAGTGTGCCTGAGGAAGGAGCCGTGGCGGGGGGCGGGCTGGGGCAGTGGAGGGCCGATGCCCTCAGGGCCCCCCTCGGCCAGGGAGCACCCCCTTCCCCAGTCCGCATCAGTCGGCTCCAGGCGCTGCCCCTCCTGCCCTGAGTGATGCCTCTTCCCGCCCCCCCCCCCAGGACTCCACGCGTTTCGGGAAGAACATCCGTCAGGCCATGGTGGACATTGCCGCTCTGCTGGACGTGCAGCCCAGGCGAGTGGCCCGCTGAGCTGGGGGCCTTTGCTGAGAGCCCCACGGGAGCAGCAGCCGGCCTGGCAGGCTGGCCACAGCGGGCGTCGTCGAGGCTGGTGCCAGTCAGCCAGCTGTGTCTCCTGCCCTTTGGAGCTGCACTGGGGGCGCTTGGTGGGCTGGCGGGGAGGGGACGTAGGAGCGGTGGCCCCGTGATGTCCCTTATAAAGGAGGATGGCTTTGGGGACCCCCTTGTCTGAAGCGACCTGATTTTGCCTGGGCCGCTGTTTGTTGTGCAGCTCTAGTGGGGGGTGGGGGAGAGACCCCACTGCAAAGGTCAGGCCAAATCCGGAGGCAGCAGTGCAAAAGGTTGAAGCGACCCTTGGAGGGCAGATGGAGGGGGAGAGTGTTGGCTCTAGGGGGGGGTAGGATCTCACCCCCCAAAAAAGTGCAGTAGCCCCAAAGCAGTGAATGAGGAGGTCCTTTGCTCAGAAAACGTTTATTGCGAGGCAGGCATTGTGGGGAGAGAGGCCTGGGGGGGGGAGGTGGACAGGCAGCTCTGGGCTTTCTCCTGGGGTGACAAGGCAGACTCAGGCCTGGCCTCCCTGGGGGGCGGCTGTGGGGGCGGCTGCTGCCAAGGTCTTGCAGAGGAAGGGGTTCCGGTCATAGCAGGATTCGTCGTCCCACAGCAGGAACCCTGGAAAGAAAAGGGGGGGATCAGGTCTGGGAAGGGGTCGGGGGCTGCCAGCCAGCTTTCCTGGGAAGGGTCCCTCACCAAGCCCAGCTGGACCTTCGGCCACCAGTTGGCCTTTAACCACCTGTGAATGGGCGTCTGCAAATTTGGTCCTCTTGCATCGTGTCCCCCCCCCCCGGGAGGCTCCTTTGGGCAATCCTCCTTCCCAGCAGCAGATCATCGACGCCCCCCCCCCAGGGCCCCCCTACTTTAAGGAGGCTTCTGAGCCTCGGGTGTCTCTGCAGCTGGCAAAGGGGCCCCTGCTTTGCGCCCAGCGTGGCTTCTGGCCTCCCCTTTTTCACAGGTGCCAGTTGGGCACATGCGGAGCTGACCAAGACAAAGCTGCCCCCTGTGGGTCAAGAAGTGGGGCTGGGGGCTTCAGGTACAGGTAGTCCTCAACTTAGAACAGTTACAATGGCACTGGAAAAAAGTGACTTACGACCGTTTTTCACACTTATGACCGTTGCAGTGTTCCCCGCGGTCACATGATCAGAATTCGGGCGCTTGGCACCTGACTCATATTTATGACGGTTGCAGCGTCCCAGGATCACGTGACCCCCTTTTGCCAGTTTCTGACCAGCAAAGTCCACGGGGATGCCGGATTCACTTAACGACTGACAAGAAAGGTGGTCAAATGGAGCAAAACTCACTTAATAGCTGTCTCACTTAGCAACAGAAATTTTGGGCTGATCTGTGGTCGTGAGTGGTGGCATTGTGCAATTCCCCCCCCCCAGGTTTTGGGAACTGGGAGGGGGTCTTCAGAGACCGGTCAAACGGAAATCCTTTTGCCCTATTTCATTCCGAGGGAGGGTCTGCACTGTCCAGAGTGAACCCTGCACTCTGGCCCTTACCGTAAGAGTCCTCCAGGGCAGCACAAGAGTCCCAGGTGCGGCGGTAATGTTTCTCCCAGGCGGTGTAGCCCATGGGGGTGCCGTCCACCCAAGTCCAGGTCTGGCTCTAAAGGCAGAAGCCAGGACATGGGGACTGGTCACTTGGGAAAGGGGTCGGGGCCCGAGTGAGCTGTCCCGGCGGGCAGAGGGAGCAGGGCCGCCACAAGCCATCACCACCCCAGCCACTCACGTGGGATGGACGGAAGAGCCCCAGCCAGACGTCCTCGTGCTCCCACCACTGAGCCTTTTGCAGGAAGTTGGACACGGCTTGGTGCTCCTCGCGGGTCTGGATGGAGGCCAGGTGGCCATTGTGGCTTTGGCAGAAGGCCTGGAGGCGGAGAGAGGCAGAGAGGCTGCAGAGGAAGCCGGCAGCCTGGCCTTGGGGTGGCACTGGCTGGGGAATTCTGGGAGTTGAAGTTCACCCGTCTTAAAGTGACTATGGTTAAAGCAAAAATTGCCAGAGGCTGCAAACCATCCAGTGACGCCTCAACCCTTCAGGTCAAGTGGGCCGCAGTTCATCTTCCAGTGGACCCTTGTGTTTCCCTGCCCAGCAGCTGGTGGGCTCTCCAGCCCCCTCGCTCAAACTCACGGGCTCTGATTCTGTGGGCGGTGGGGAGCCCACCGTGGCACAGAGAAGCTGCAGTTCCTCACTTGCTGCCTGCACCGCTGCAGGCTCAGCCCCTGGCAGTGCCACTGCCCAACCCCCAACGCAGAGGGCGCAATCCCAGCCGGGCCCTCTCCTCTGCCCCGATTGCCCCGACTCACCTCCGCCTGTTGCCAGTTCACCTCCTGTTCAAAGTAGCCGTAGCAGTGGCCATTGTAGGCGAGCCAGCTGCTGGGGCAGGGGTCAGCCTGGGCATCTGCGAGGGCAGGAAATAGGTGAGACCCCAAACGCCCACAGGTTGGCTTTGTGTTCCCCCCCCCCACCGCTTGGGAGATTGAGCTGTAGGACCCATAAGAGGAATGGGAGAGCCCCCTCCCCTCTTTCGGTTACAGGGGGTCTTCCCTGCAGGTTGGAGGGAGAGATCACTCACTGGCCACGAAGGGTGCAAGCACCAGGCCAAGGAAGAGGCCAAGGCTGAAACTGGCCATCCTCTGACTCTTCAAAGCTGCAGAGAGAAAGAGAAGGCATGAGGGGAGGGGGAGGGCAGCGGCCGCAGTGGGATGGGGAGGGGATGCCTCCTTGAGAAGGAGAGGTGGCTGCCCCTCAACCACCCACCGGGCCTTTCAGGGATTTCGTTGCTGGTAGAAAATCACAAAATGGGATACGGCAGTCCCAGACATTGTCCAGATCAAAAGGGGCTGCTTCTGGGCTGGGGGGTCGCTTTTCTCATCACTTCGAGGCTGAATGCGCCCCGTTTCCATTGGGCTTCACCCACAAAACATTGCAAACTCCATGCACCAACACACAAAGAGTGAGCTGGGTCTGCAGGAGTGGGAAGGCGACCCTTTTCTATGGGTAGGGCACATGCACACCACCCACAAACTCATTTTTTTGTTTTGATACCCTGGATTCTGTGTTAACGCTTGGCAATTCCCAGGAAAAAGAGAAGAATTATCTTTCTCTTTTTACAAAGATGCAAGGCAACACCCATGATTTGCCCGCCCAAAGATTCAGTGTGCAAGCTGGCTGCATTACAGCTTTCACACGTTAAAAAAAAAATCCCTTTCCGCCTTCCTAGTGATGAAATGCAACTAGAAAAGTTCATATGTACACGCCCTTCCTCATTCAGAGAATACAACGTGAGCCGAGTATGCAAATTGCAACTGCGGAAAGTTATATTTCAATCCGTGCAAAAGCTGCCACAGCTTTTAATCAAGAAGTTCCTGATTTATTCCTGACTCTTAGGGGCACAAGGGAAGAGTCCTGAAAAGCACCTGCAGACATAAGGCTCCAGATAAAACTCAGTTTTATCTATGCACTTTTATTTCTGCTGCCTCCGAGCCAATTCTGTAGATGTAATTCAATAACCTAGAAAATCCAGTTCCACACTATCTTTGAGTCAGTTCCAGAAACTGGCTCTCTTAGCTTGGTGGTTTTCTTGCACGGATTTCATGATCAGCTAGCATTGACAATGTTACCTAGTTGGGTCATGAAACGTCTGCAAGAAAACAACCAAACTCGGAGAGCATTAAAGACCCCAAGCTCAGCTCCCAGCTACAAATCTTGTACTCTGTCGGTTTTCAGAAATTACCCACAATTTTATCATTTTTAATCAATGCTCCTGCATGCATTTAATATCTCAAACCTAAGACAATCTGAAAACATGCCAGCCCTTTGGTGATATAGCAAAATGGCATATACCGCACTAAGTGCTTTAAATGACATTTCTCAAAATTCTCTGTTTGCATCCTTCCTGCCCTCATTCAAATTATGGGAAAGGGTCACCTGTCTCCATTTCTTTCCTTCACTCTAAATTTACTTGCCCAGGTATCACAGCAGCTGATTTTTTTCTGCACTCCTGAGGACTACCGTAAAACGCTCAACTGAGATAACCGATATAATTCCACACCTTAACAATCTTTTATTTCAACTGCCCTCCACTTGGCTGCCATGGGACCTTGATGCACATGACAACTCATACATAAAAACTTGCTGAATTGTGGGATTTTTTTTTCTACCCAAAATAACTAAACGTGAGGATGTTTGCACGCTCGGCTCATGTTATATTCTCTGCATGAGGAAGGGTGTATATGTGTGTGTACACACAGAGAGACATATATTGACATGGATGTCAAGTAAAGGTCACCCTGGGTGGGCAGTCTCAGCTATACGCACATCTACATTTAAACACGAGGCTGGCTGTAAGAAAAGCTCCAGCCGGCAAAGGGACGGGGGGGGGCGGATCAGAGTTCTGAGGAACAGGTGAAAAATGCAGTGTGCACTTTTCTAGTTGCGTTTCATCACTAGCAAGAGTGTGGAATAGTTTTCTTTTTAATGTATGAAAGTTGTAACGCAGCCAGCTTGCATATTGGATCTTTTGGCGGGCAAATCATGGGTGTTGCCTTGCATCTTTGTGAAAAAAGAAAAATGCTTCTCTTTTCCCTGGTAAGTGCCAGGCAGCGAGTCAACACAAAATCCAGGGCATTAAAGCAAAAACGCGTGTGTGCGTGCTCGCGTGGGGCCCTTCTCTTCCCATAGGAAAGGACTGTCTTCCCGATCCCGCTGCCTGACGCCCGCCCCCCCCCCCAGCGCTTCCACAGACGCGCCGATCCCGGGCCGAGCATCCCGCTGCCGCACACACACACACACACACACACACACACACACACACACACACACACACACACACACACACCCCAGTGCCTACACGGTTCAGCCGAGCCCCCCCCCTTCGGCGCGCAGATTGGCTGCCGGGAGGCGCGGCTACTTGTCCCTTGCAATTCCCCCCCCTCGCCCCGCCAAAGTGGAGGCCGGGGCTCCATGGGCGGCGGGGGAGCGCCGGCACAGGCCGGCCGAGTCTAAACGCCCGCGGTGGGTCGGCTGTGGCTGCCGGGCGGGGGCGCCAGCTGGTGGCGGAGGCGAACCGTCCCTCTCGGGTCCGAGACCCTCCCGCGGTTCTCTCCGAGGTGCTGAGGCGCAGCCGCTGGCCGGCGGAGCCCCAACCGGAGTTGATCTGGGGC